TATGAACACAATGGTATAATTTTCCAGAAGATTGGTGCAGAATTGGTAAGGATGGAGTATCCTTATATAGAAGAAGAGAAGGGGAAGAGGACACTGGCTGACTCATTTCTGCGTATGAAAGTCGCGTAGTGGAGGAGGCTGCGCCGATCGGATATTTACACGATTCTTCCCTGATTGGGACTAATTTCGGTCCCAGTCGGGGTACTCTTTTTGGTCCAACTTTCTCCAAATTGAAATCCGTTTGCACCGTTGCGATCAGACAGTCGAACTCTATCCAACGATATAATTTTTATATTCATTCGTTATACTTTTTCCGACACCACATTTTTGGGTGTTTGACTTTAAGAGAGTAAAAGTTGGTTTAATTGACCTTTCTCATAAAAGGTTCTCTTAATTCATATCAATTATTCTCGTGATTTATTTCAACAAATCATTTCAATATTTACATTCTAAACAAATTCTTTATTTACTCTTGATTTGGGTCCGTACTCAGGTTCCCAATCAAGACCACACAAATAGTCCCCATATTGGGTTTATCTCTATGAGACTTATCCAGATTTTGATATTAGATGTCAAAACAAATTTTGTATCGGCCCAAAGCCCAACAATAATTTATTTTAATCAAAACAAATTTGATTAATTGATTATTTGTTCATTAATAATTCTAGGGTATATTTTGGGACGTTACATTTCTTCCCCCCTTAAAAAGGAATTTCGTTCTCGAAATTCTTATAAGGTCAAACCTTCAACATTTCGTAGTGATCTCATTTAATCGAAAAAAGTGATTATATATTAAAAAACTAAATCGAAAATTATATAAAACAAGAGATAACTTGATTTTTATCAAATAATCAATGAAAGTACATAAGTAATCAAAATTTATTGTCGATAGGTCCCAAAAATATTGCAAGTCAATTTGAGAAGGAGAGTATGATTTTAATTTTCAAATGTAAAATAAAGAAAATGCATCTTTACTTAGGAGACAAAGGACAAATGGAAAAACAAAAAATTGCTGCTGGGTACCCCTAATTTTGGGATAAAGACTAGCAGGTCCCATTGTTTTTCAAAATATACTTCGAGGTACCTTAAGAAATTCGAAAACTGACTCCGGGGTGACAATCCGTCATTCTCTCCGTTAACATTTCTTCTCTGTTATCCTCCTCCTCCTCCTCTTCTCAAAAAATTGCTGCCAGGTACCCCTTATTTTCGGATAAAGACTGGCAGGTCCCATTTTTTAAAAAAATTTGCTCATGGGAATTTAAAATATGATGTATGTGACTTGCCAGTCTTTATCCGAAAATAAGGGGTACCTGGCAGCAATTTTTTGAGAAGAGGAGGAGGAGGATAACGGAGAAGAAATGTTAACGGAGAGAATGTAGGATTGTCACCCCGGAGTCAGTTTTCAAATATCTTAAGGTACCTCGGAGTATATTTTGAAAAAAATGGGACCTGCTAGTCTTTATCGCAAAATTAGAGGTACCCAATAGCAATTTTTTGAATGGAAAAATCTCAAAGATGAGTCCATATACTTATACTCCGTACAAATGACCCACTCGGCCACTCCCCTTTTGAGCAATAAACCAATAAATTACACATCTTGTATCTCTTGTGATTTTTCAAAGACACAAAAAAAATACTTCCTCCGTCTTAAAACTTTTTTCCCACTTTTCCTTTTTCTCTGTTCTAAAACTACCTTCCTATTAGAAAAAAAAGATGACAAATGACATTAATACCCTCATGTATTTACACCAATTATCTTCTAACTCTATATTTTGAATGATTGCAAAAAAAATTCAAAAAATCTTTTTTAAGGAGGGTAAAATTTGAAGTCAAAGCCAAAAATTAAAAATGTGGAAAAGTCAAACTGGGAAGAAAGAATTAGGACGGAGGGAGTAATTAATTAAAACCCGAGACTTATCTTTAAAAATTAGAAAATATTTTTCATACTTTTTAACATATTTATCTTTTCATTTCAGCCAAAAAAAGACTTGTGCTTGCAGAGCTCAAATCACATCAATTTTGGTATCACATTTGTTATAGATATTCATAGACATGAGATAATACCTTAGGTTGTAATAGGGCAAATTCTCACGCATTTCTAAAATTTATGTTCAATTTATGAACCTTAGTATAAAAAATAACAACCCAGTTAAATCCCACAAGAGTAGGGTCTAGGGAGGGTGTGTGTACGTAGACCTTACCCCTACTCGAAAGTAGAGAGGCTGTTTCCAAAGAGACCCGCAGCTCAACGTCAAAAGTTGCATTGCTTGACTAACTGCTACTTTATTAATTAAAGAAGTGCAGACAGTTTAGAGATCCATTTTGATTTATTCCACCACACCCCAAAGCCAAAAAATGGTGAAATTTTGGTTCCATCGGAGATGATGGAAAATTTATGGACCTTAGTATATTGATATAATTAAAGAATTGAGTTTTTACACATGAAAAAATCTACTTGTTAATTCATAAAAAAATGAGAAGGTCTACATTTTACATATGTATCAGGAAAGAATAATTCTTCTAATATCTATAGAAAATTGGGGTCAAAATTACTCTCAAACTTGTGAATAATGAAAAATGCTAGGAGTACACCAAAGGTGTACCCCATTTGTCCTCCACCCCCTCCATCACCACAATAAAAGGCAAGAAAATAAAATAAAATTAAATAAATAAAAAAAAAATTGAGTGGTGGAGAAAGAGGTGGGGGACAAATGGGGTACACCATTTGGTGTACCCCTAGCATTTCTTGTGAATAATTGTGATAGATTGAGTACTTTACATTTTTGGCCAAAAAAAAGTGAATACAATAAAAAATTCAAACACTTGATTCAAAATTACAGTATTTTACACTAACAATGGGAAAAAGAGAGGAAAGAAACAAACAACAGGGCGAGTCCAGCCACCCAAATGATGGGAAATGGGGTTTTCCAGCTAAGAGTCGGTAACCTAACCTAACCTACCAGTAAGAATCTCTCACAAGTGTTTCCCCCTGATGGACGGATGAGATTTAACCATAGCGGGAGGGAGAGATTTAACACAGCAAAAGTATGGAGTGAAAAATGATCATCAGACAGAATCTGGATGGGGTGGGGTTGTGTGATGTGGTGGGGTGACCTTATGGGGCCCATTCCCTCACCCACACGCACAAGCAAATCCCCAGTTATATTGTATCTTTCTCGAGGAATTTTTATCAAGGTAAAGATTTAAAAAAATGGCGTTCTGGATGTTCGAAAAGAATGACGTTTGTCCTGTTCGTTTGAATTCGATGAAGGTTCGAAAAAATGGCGTTCCCTTACTCAATTGATTATTCGGCGGATTTGAAAAGAGTGACATCTCCATTGAAGAAGAAGAAAATTTATTTGTTGAAATGTTTATGACACTTGAACAAAGATAGTTTGATTATATCTTGTCCATGTTGGGCATTCGAAACCTCCTTGTTCCAGCTTGAGGGAGGGTGTTGGTATGAGATATTAGAAGAAGCAAACTGAATCCCTTTGGGATTCGGTTTTCTATCTTTCCTAATTTGTTTAATTCTTATTTTAGTAGCTAGAAATAAAAATTTTCTTGTTCCCCCCAGTTCATGTTAGCCATGTCGTAGTACCCACAAATTAATTTATTATTTTTTTGCTTAAATCCCACTTTATGAATTAGTATTCATTCAAACACATGAATAGGGCAAACAAGACTTGATTCCACAAGGAAATATACTTTTTAAGTTATGAAAATCAATCACTTTGTCACTTTTATTAAATAAAAAACGACTAACTAAAACTAATACGTAGTAACTAAAACTAAGAGATATGGGGGTCGAATTCGAATGATAAATAAAAAAGATAGAAATGTAAAATAAAGTAAAGACAAGAATAACAGATAAGAAATGGAACAACAAAAGCAAGCTTAAAATTCAAAAATTCATAAACGGTTTCGGTTCAGTTTTGCCAATTCTAACTAGTACTGAGTGCTAGTTTGATTGATACTGTTTTGCATTAGAATTCTGTGCTAGTAGATACCAATGTTTTGACACTAGTTTACAAAGTAGTTATTTCTTTGTACTTATAAGCTAATTAAAACTATTTTAACTTATAAATCAGCTGATGACATATTTTTGTTTGCTTATAAGCTGACTTATTTTTAAGCACATTTTTTGTTTCTCAGTTTTGACCAGATTATTTACAAAATATTCCTCACCATTTATGAATATTTAGAAATATTTTATCTATCATTTAAGTCATTATACTTTTACGGAAAAAAATTTGACTTATAAACAGCTTAAAAATTAAACACAGTTTATCAGCAATAAATCAAGCCTACGTGAAATTAAAACAATTTATCAATAATTTAACATGCTCTATATATTATAAAAAAAGCTGGCATACTCGTAATAATTTAAATTCCGAATTAAATACACCCTCCTAGATAGATGTTCACACAACACCAGCAATAGGCAATGCCCCTATAAACACCAAAATTGTCACTCCATACCCTAAGTCAAGGCGACTTGAGAAACTTTCGAGCTGCATCCGAGCTCAGTTCTTCATACACCTGAAAAAAAAAAGAGAATGTCCATATTGGTTTGAGACCCTAAAATTATGGGGATTGTACAAGTAAAATGGATTGAAGGAAATGAACACAGTCTGATGGGTGGTTCCATATTGGCTTGAGACCCTAAAATTTCAAATTTAGGTAGAAAAATAATTCATCTATTTTGATTTTTTTATTATCAAACATGGCAGAAGCTATATATATGTACTTACAACTTTCCTATAAACTTCTTGAAAATTCCTAAGGAACCTTTCTGCTTCTTCTGGTCCAACCTGTAAAATTCAGACTAGGTGATATCATAATCCGTTTGCACGTTTCACATCCAAAAAATTGTTCAATCCCAATGAAAAACCTAAAGGAGATTAAAGAACAATAATAATAAGAATTAGAATAAGACCAAAATAATAATAATAATTCTTATATGAAAAGTTATGAGCCTCAACTTTAAAAGACAAATTTCAGTGATGAAAATTTATACTCCGTATATGGTATGAACCAGTATCTGTCTGATATTTCCATTTTCCCAGCAAACCACTACTCCCTGCGGAAATGGGTGAAATACATTCTAATATAGGACTAAGTACCCTAGAATGGTACATGGACTAATTAAATTGCTTCCTTCAATTAGAAGTACAAAAACTCTCTCTCTCTCTCTCTCGATCATTTACTTAGCTAATGTGGCCATATATGGTTTACTTGAATAAATACATTGTAATTGCTTTACGTCCTGGAGACAATTCATAACTAAATCACAATTTCCTTTCATTCTCTTCTCTCTCAAAGCTCTCTATTATCTTCTTTCATCTCTCAAATATATCTCTATTTCCGTTATACTCCGTTAGAGAGTTCATACAGCTTCTCTGAGCTATAACATATAAGATTTCATCAGCGTAGTCTGGTGGTATTTGCCGATATTGGAGTCTGTGCTAAAATCAGTGTATTCTCTACTAATTGACATCTTTTGTTATCTATTGATATCCCTTTTTACCATCGAGGTTGATATTAATTTTTTATTTAACACTCCATATTTGTTTTGAGAACATACATTACTAACACAAGAGATAGCAGGGTTCTGTCCCTAAGGGGGGAAAGCAAAAATAACATTGCATACCTGCTTCTCAGCAACTAGCTTGACTTTGTCCCAAAATGCATCTGTTACAAGTCAATCATCTTGTTTAAAAAAATATAGTCTCTCTCTTTTTGTTAAAACAATTCCTCTTTCATTTTTTTTGTTTTCACCAAAAATACCTCCATTTTTGCAAAATAAAAGACTTAATACAAATAAAGCCGTTGTAATATACTCTACATAAAAAGTTATTTAAATGATTTGTCTCTCTTTTCTCTTCAACGTTAAGAATATAATTAGAAAGTCAAATTGAAAAAATAAATATGTCAAAAGTAAAAATAGGAACTGTTTTTGCAAAGAGAGGGAGTACTAAAAGTTTATTGCAGACAAGATATTATACCATGGCTGTTGCTTTCCTTAGCCTCCAAACCACCTTTATTTACTCTTTCCTGTTAGTCATCAGCTCATGATCTTAGAATAGAAGGCTGATCCAGAAACCTATTAATCCAACATGAAATCAAATAGATTGATTCTAGGCGTTTACCACGAATTCTCGCAACAATGTTTTTGATGTCATCAACTTTCTGGACGATCTTGAAGACGCCAAGTTCCTGGACGATCTCGATGTCGAAAAATTTCTGGACGACTTTGATGTCGCCAGTTTTTTGGATGACTTTGACGCCGCCTCTAAACTCCTTGAAGACTTTGACGCTTCCAAACTTCTGGAAGATTTGGATGCCTCTAAATTTCTCGCAGATCTTGATGTCTCCAAGCTCCGAGATGACAATGATGCGGATAGCCTCTTCTCAGTTTCAAACTGGGCATTCAAAATCACAATGAAATTAGGGCAAAGCAATTAAAATCATGTTATACAATTTAAAGACGCATCCGCTTCCGATTTTCGATTTCTCCACTGAAATGGAGCCCTAGTTTTGGTTCGACCACATGATTCATGGAAAATCAATGCCTGCAGACATTTAAGAAAAAATATTTCGGAAGTGCGATGAAAGAGATGGGTATAATAAGAGAGATTACGTCATAATCGCGAGTGCGGATGACAGGGAAGTGCTCGAGAAGGCGATGGAATTCAAGTTCATCCATGGACGGACGGAGACGGAAACTTCCTGAGACAGCTTCCAACGTCGGGTAACATTAGGGGAAGGAGGTGGAGAGAAAGGGAATGGAGATTGGAGGGAACTGGCAGGGGGGAAATAAAGGGATCGAGGGGGAGGGAATGATAATGAATTCTCCCATGTCAAAGTCAAACCACTTAGAGCACTCGTAATACCTCTCACGCCGGACGGCATGATGAGGCGTTTTAAAGCTTGCGGCATTAAACACCGTCCCCATCAGCGTGATTTGAGCGTGATGTGTTCGGTGTCACTTGTTTGCCGCAATCCTCTTCCCTTTTAATGGCTCTAATAGTGGTTGAATGCAAAAAAAAGAAAAATAAATTTTTTTGTTATAAATTCAACCCCCTCCCAATCTCTCACACCTTCACTCTTCTTCAATCTTCTTCAATTTCAAACTCTCCCCTTCTCTTTTCAATATGAATCCCATTGACACCTCTTTTTTTATTTAACGAATGTAATTTTTTAAATTTTAAATTATTTTCGTTTCAATTTCTTTAAATTTAATGAATGTATTTTTTTATTATTTGTTTTTCAATATAATTAAATAATAAATTAATTACATTTTATTAATTTAATTTTAGAAGATGTATATTTAAAAATGTAAAAAAATGAAGGTTTGAAGCCCAGTTTGAAGTCCTGAGGCTTCAAACCCATTTCCAGTGAGTTTTTGGTGTAAGTTAAAACTGACGTGGCAGAGAGAAAAAGTCTGAAACCCCGGTTTGAAGCCTCAGGGCTTCAAACGTATTTCCAGTGCTCTTATTTTTGTTTTCATAAAGTCATTTGCTATATTGATTTGTACAAACCAAGGGATAGAACCAAATTTTTATCCATTTTGAATTTTTAAGAGTTATACGCAGTGCTACACGTTTGTGTTAGATTGTAAGTTTGTAACCTTTGGATTTATAAAAAAATCATTTTAATCGTGCTTATTTATATACACAAGATCATACAAATATAGTCTGTTTAGACCTGTGCAAACAAGGGCCGGCTCATCCGGCCCGCCCAGCCCATCCTTTAAAATGGGCGGATATGGACAATCTTTAATACCCACATGGGCGGGCCGGCCCAAACCCGAATTGTATTTGGGCGGATTTGGAAGTTACTTTTAGTCCATCCGGGCCAACAGACTCGCCCATATTCATTAAATACATTTACTTTATTATTAATTACCTAGACAATATAAATTTTAAAATTTTCTTTAATTAATGTATAATAGTTCATATCACTCACCCTATTAAACAAAAATCAATAGTCTTTTAATGAATCTGTATGGTGGGTTTATTAATTATGTAACAATATTTCTATCATGTTTTCTATGTAAATGTGACGAGTGGTAATTTTATTTTAAACATTTGAAAACGAGTTCAATATTTTCTTTTTGATATTTTTGTGTAAAAAAGATTTTTTTGATGTTTTATCCGGTCCGGGCGGCCCGGTGGGCAGTTCGGTCCGCTAAGGTGGACGGGTATAGGTAAAGAGTTTAGCCCATCAAATCCGGGCCGGGCCAAGCCCGCCCATGTAAATGGGCTAATAATTTGTATTAAGCCCGGTCCAGATCTGGCCCGGATCCTTATTTGCACAGGTCTAAGTCCGTTAAAGAAAGGTAATACTGTATTAAACATACATACATATATCATATACGGAGTATTCGTGAATTGTTATGCTCTACTTTTTTTTCCATTAATTCCACCATTGCCGAGGGAGTAATTTTTTATATAAAGGGTATATGATTAATTAGTCACAATCTCATACGTCCCAAATATGACCTTTTTAACCCTCTTTTTTTTAATCTGTACGGCATGGAAAAAAATAGAGTTTACGCAATGATTTATTTATTTTTATATATTTTTTATAACAAATAAATTGATTTAAGTTTGGTAAAAAAAATGCACATAAATATATAAACATGAAATATATGGCTAAAGGTGAGGATCAACGGCACACCTTCGATGTTGTTAACGGAAAGGTAGATGAACAAAACTTCAGAAGTACCTCCTCACTATCACGCTTCGTTGTCCTCCTAACACTCTCTCTAGATCAAGTGCCCTAAAGTGCTCACCCTAGGCCTCTATTTATAGGTAGGGGAGGAGGGAAAAATGAATGGTTTTCATTAAAGAAATTGATTTTTATTTTTTTAAAAAAACTAGATCATTAATGGTCTTTTAATAATGTTAAGTGAATGAGAAAGGGGTTACACCAATTTGGGCGTGGGAACCAAGATGGGAAAGCTAAAAGTTTTTCCACTCCCTTTGGTTTGTATTACGTGTCTGATTTCCACATTTTCAGTTGTTCAACGTTTTAGAAAAATATAAAATTTATATCATTGGATTCCATATTTTTCACACATCATTTTAATATAGTTTATTTGTTAAGAAAATATTAGGTGAATAGTCGAGAACCAAACTAATTTTTTTATTCCCTTTCACTTTACTCTGTTTTTTTTCATCTCTACTAGTAATTAATCTTTTAATATAAAATTCCAAATTGATTGTTTCTAAATAAATAATATTAACATTTTTTTATTTTAAATTTTATTATTATTATTATTGATGGTGTAAATTACCACGTAAATACTAAGTATGAGTAATCGGAAGGGTTGTAGGTGGAAACACCTGTAACCCGATTTGTTATTAATGATAATAGGAGTTATTACAAATACAAGCCGTGTAGGTTAATTAAAGCCCTCCTCTACAAATGAGGCTTTTAGGGGTATTTATAATAATCCTAAGCACATCAAGCACGTCTCTGATTATCCAACCGGTCACGCGGCTGACCGGCCCACCAGGTGCACTTTGAAAGTAGATCTTCGGGAATTGGCGTCTGGTCTCCCCATCCAACCGGTCAAATAACCCGGGCTGAGAAAGACGTGTGCTGTTCGGTGAACCAACCGGGTGGTATCCTTGGGTTATTACCCATCAAGGAGTCCTCTGATTCCCGGTCCTGTGGGGACCATCAGGGGCGGGAAGCACATTCGATCATTTCCCGGAATTTGACCTGCCCAGTCGCTTTTTGGCGGGAAAATTGTCTCGGAAAACCAGCGCCAACCCAAAATATTTGAAATTTGAAATTTGAATTTCAAATCCCAAAAACCGGGTGTCCAAAGCGGGAGAATTTTCTCGAAGTCGGGTACGGAGCCGCCGATTTATTGTGCCGTTTCGTCTCCCCGAGAAGTTATGATGGCAAAACGTTTCAGCTGCCACGTGTCATTCTTTCGTTTGTCCGTTTGGGCGGCCTCTCTCCTATATAAAGCGATATCCTCCCTAGGATTTCTTCACTTGCAAATCTTCGATTTAAAAAACCGTCCGGCTGCTTCTACTACTTCCGAGTCCTCCAAGTCCTCTTATTCCAAGTAAGTCTTTCTTCTTCCTCGAGTCATGTCTGACCACGAAGACAGCCAGAACCCTTCCGCCCATTCTTACGGTTCTGGTGACCGGGCTCAGACCTCCGGTTCCTCCTCTTCTTCATCCTCTGATTCTGAGCGCCCGGCTACTTCTCTACAAAAGAAGCCGGTTGATGCTTCAACTTGTGCTCCTTCTTCTTCCGTGGCGCAAGTGATCTCGGTTGCCCAATCTGGGGATGAGGGCTTCGTTCTGCTGGACGACCGGTTTCTTCAAACGCAATCGTCGGTCATGCAGAAGGCCCAGGTCCACGAGGTGCGCAACCTGATGCCGGACGGGTACCAATTAACTTACCGGGAAACGTGGAAGAGCATTATTCCTCTCCACGCCGGTACGTCGATTGGTATTCATTACCACTCAATCAAGGACCTCGACGAATTCTCCATTCACCCATTCAAAGTCCTTTTCCTTGAAACATATGGTATCATGCCCGGGCAGCTGGCCCTTAATGGTCACCGTTTGTTGGGCAGCTTCATCAATGTCTGCCGGTTCCTTCGTATTCCTCTTTCCCTTCGTCTCTTTGACCACATGTTCGATGTCCGGCCCGGGTCCAAGGAGCCCCTTGGATTCGTGGTGGTGTCTTCTCACCAAGGTCGGGCATTTCTCTGTGGCCTTCCTCCCTCCAACAAGAGGTGGAAGGACAAATATGTCTGCATTAAATTCCCCCCGGCTGCCTTTCCTTTTGCGCAAAATGTCTGGGGGAAAAGAATGAAGCGCCAGGTCAAACCAACAGAGGCCGATGACCTGGTTGCCTGGGAAACCACTCTCCAAGCCGGGGATGCCTCCACCCGCGGTCTTTACCATGTCGGGAAGTGGAGCGTCTACCCCGGCTGGGAGACTGACCCTGAGCCGGAGATTGTCCTGACTGGGGTGATCCCCGAAGCCATCCCCATCAGCCGGGCAAGGGGATCCAAAGCCCTGGCCACAGCCACCGCCGGTCCTTCACGCCCGGCGAAGAAGAAGAAGGAGAAAGGTCAATCAACTACCCTTATTTTCCTTCCATTTTTTCTTTTTTATATCGCTGTTCTTCTGACCGGTTTCGTTTCTTGCAGTGGTGAAGTTCCAGTCGAAATTTGCCACCCCAAAAATCGTCGCTGAGGAGCCTTCCACCGCCCAGCTTCTCAGCCAACCTCCGGTCCAACCAGTCCCTTTAGACGAGCAGCCGGCCCAGTCTCAACAGGGGACCAGCCAGCCCATCCACTCCGGGGAACTCTCCATCAATGTAGATACCCTGGAGTTCGACCAGCTGATGGAGGCTGGTCAAGAAAACCAGCTGGCCGAGGGAGGCCACGAAGAAGAGGAGGCTGCTGAAGAGTCCCTTAAAAGGAAGAGGCGGAAGAATGAAGTGGTCGACCAGCCGGCTCATCAAGCAGCCCAGTCCTCCGATGCCGGCAAAAGGCAAAGCCAGCCCCGGTCAATGGCTCTAATGTCTAGATCGGACAAAGAGCTCCTCCAAGCCTTCCGCGCCGACCTGACTGAGGTAATCCCCCTTTCTCCCTTCTTACCGCCCTCCTATTGCTTCTGATATCCTCCTGATTGGCGAGGTCGGTTGGTCTGATACTCTCCAATGTCTTTAAAGCAGGTCGGTCGGATTGGCGAGGAGTACTTCACCCGGCTGGTGAAGTCAAGGGACGAGGAAAAGGCCCGGATGGAGGCCATGATGGTCGAATGCCGGAAAGAGGCTAAGGCCGCTTTTGAGAAGGCGGCGAAGGCAGAGGAGAAGCTGATGGACCATTGTGCGGTCTACCGTCAGCTGTATGCAAAGCATGACGGTCTCCTCAAGGCCGCGAAGGAGGCCGATGAGCAAGCTCAGGCAAAGATCCAACAGCTTGAGGCCGAGAACGCCCGGTCGGCTGAGGAAATTGCCCGGCTCGGAGACGAGCTGGAGAAAGAGCGCTCGGAAAGGGCTCCTCTTGCTGCTGCCTGGGCTGTCCAGGCGCCCGAGGAGTTTGCTGCCCAAGCACTTCCTGAACGGGAGACTGCCATCCGCTTCTTCCAAGGTTTATACAAGCATGAGGTCTCGGCCGGGATCATTGACGAGATCGGAACCTACGGTTTCGAAAGCGGTCAGTACGATGAACGGCGAGCTCTGTATGGTATCCTTGAGCAGCGGATTCAAGGTTTTCAGCCCAAGGCTCTTTCTCTGCCTGAGCTGCATGATGAGGCACCGGTCGCGCCTTTCCCGGGCATCTGATTTCCGAGCCTTTTTTACTTTCTTTTTTTTTTGTTTACCTCCCGTGTGTAATGATCTGCCTCCGGGCATTTTTGTAACACTTAAATATTATTTCAAGTGTTTTTCTCCTAAGACACTTAAGATTTTTAACCGTTTAGATTAGTAAATACAGCCCGACCGCATTTACCCGGTTTAAAATACAATTTTACCCAAGGCTTTTCGAAAGGCTGGGTGGTCGACCGGGAAGACTTTGAGTTTCATTAATTTTCTTCCGGTCGGTTAATAACCTGCAATGGCGTATCGAGTATTTGCCTGGGCGCCTTTTCACAATCGCTTAAAGCCCTTGTGAAAAGGTAAACCTCAACTTGCCCTTTCAGAACGTCTGACTTAAACTGTCCGGGATTCTCTCCCTTTAGTCAAGCCAAATCGTTTTAACTCCCGTGTTAGTACGGATGAGGTGTAGGATCAGTCAGACCGGTATCTTTTTTTTTTGAGATGCCAATTCGATTGGACGTCTAACCGGGTAGATCGGTATGTCGACCAATTACCGGTTGATGTATGAGGACAATCTTTCTGAAAAGAACAAAGTTTTATTAACACCTAGGGAACTCATTAAATTTTATCTAAAAAATTTACGTAAGTGATGAGAGTTCCAATGTCGGTCAACCCGGCCACCTTCCATAGTCTCTAGTTGGTAAGTGCCCGGCCGGATGATCGCCTTTATGCGATAGGGTCCTTCCCAATTTCGCACCAACTTGCCTCTCTCGTTAGGTTTACTAGCATCCCGTCTGCGCAAGACCTCATCATGCACTTGGAAGTACCGTGGGCCTACCCGGTTGTCGTGATATCTCTTTACCGACTGCTGGTAACCGGCCAGCTTGACAGCTGCTAGGGTCCTTCGTTCTTCAACCGGGCTTCACATCCGTAAGTGAGCACAAATGGAGTTTCTTCGGTTGCCCTTCTTGAAGTCACTCTATGCGCCCAGACCGTGTGAGGCAAAGCTTCCAACCATTTATGGCCTTCTTCACCCAACCTCTTCTTTAGGCCGTCCACTATCGTCCGGTTAGCATTTTCAACTTGGCCATTTCCCTGTGGATAAGCTACTGAGGCCTTGCTGTGCTTGATTCCAAAACTAGCCAAGTACTCAGTGAACCGGGGGTTACGAAACTGCGAACCATTGTCGGTAACAATCATCTTCGGGGCACCAAACCGGGTGATAATGTTTTTCCAAACAAATTTCTCACACTGCCGCACGGTTATGGTAGCCATCACCTCGGCTTTGACCCATTTAGTGAAGTAATCAATAGCCACCATCACAAACTTCTTCCCGCCTTGGGCGACCGGGAAGGCTCCAATAATGTCAATCCCAAACCGGGTAAATGGTATGACATTAGACGTTGGTTAGTAGTATGTGGCCGGTCTGCCGGGATGTTTGTAAAAAACCTGGCACGTCCTACATCTCTGGACATACCGCTCGCAATCCCCAACATTGGTCGACCAGTAGTAGCCAAACAATATTATCATTTGAGCCAGGGTGCGAGACATTTGATGGGCTGCACAAACTCCCTCATGCACCTCAGCTATTACCCGCTCAGCCTCCGGGTTGGTAAGGCAACGCAGGAGAGGTCCGCCAATGGCACGTTTGTACAAGTGACCATCGATTACCTGAAAACGGGGAGCCCGCAGGACCACCTTCCTGGCCCGTTCCTCGTCATCTGGTTTCTGACCGGTCTCCAAATATTCCATGAGATCGTACCTCCAGTCATCATCTGCTCCGATTATCCCGGTAGCCGAATTCTGGCCCGGTTGGATAGCCGCGATTTCAAACCGATCAGTACTTGGTTGATCTAAACTCTCAATTTTAGCCAACTTCGACACATGCTCCAGGCATGATTTCATTAACTTCGAAAGCATATCAGCGTCTGAGTTCTCCGATCGGGGTATCCTAGTCAGACGAAACTCTTCCAATTCCCTTAGAAGTGCTCAGACCAGGTCACCGTACCGGGCCAGACGCCCCTCTTTGACCTCCATCTCGCCATTGACCTGTCCAACTACAAGACTTGAGTCGGAACGAATTCTTATTCTCTTTATTCCGAGTGCCTGGGCTAATCGGAGGCCTCCGGTCAGTGCCTCATACTCCGCCTCATTGTTGGTAAGCTTGAAGTTGAAAATCAAGGCATGGTAGATTTTGAACCCTTCTGGAGTAGTGAAGACTATACCGGCTCCGCACCCCTTCGGTCCAGAGGCCCCATCAACGGCCATGTCCCACCATGGTTCGACCGTATGAGAAGGTCCGGCTTCGGGCTCTAGACCGGTTAGTTCGACGAGGAAGTCTGCCAAAGCTTGACCCTTGATTGCGGTCCTTGGTTTGTATTCTATTTTGAACTGAGTGAGCATCATCGCCCACTTGATTAATCGCCCTGAGGAGGTTGAATTTCGGAGGACCGGCCCAAGTGGCTGATCGGTTAGTACTTCCACAGTGTGAGCTTGGAAGTACGCGGTCAGTTTTTTGGCCATAATGAAAAGTGCGTATGCTGTTTTTTCAATGGCAGTATACCGGCTTTCTGCCCCATTAAGTGCTTTGCTCACATAGTAAATAGGCCTCTGGCCGTCTTCATTTCTTATTAAGATAGAGCTTACAGCGTTTTGGGAAATGCCCAGATACAAATACAAAGTCTCACCCGGTTTTGGTTTGGACAAAACAATATCAGAGACTAAGTACTCCTTCAGCTGCTGGAAAGCTTCTTCGCATTCCCGGTCCCACTCGAATGTATTAGCCTTCTTCAGAACCTTGAAGAAAGGCAGAGCCCTCTCAGCAGACCAGGAGAGAAAACGACTCAAGGCTGCGAACCGCCCGGTAAGTCGTTGTACGTCCTTCAGCGATCTGGGCGACCTCATCTCAGTTATGGCCTTAATCTTCTCCGGATTAGGCTCAATACCATGCTTGGTCACCATAAACCCTAGAAACTTACCGGTCTTTACAGCAAAGACGCATTTCTTGGGATTGAGACGCAAGCTGTACTTAGCCATAATCTCGAAGCAAAGCCTCATGTCAGCCGGGTGATTTGTCGCGCCCGGGCTTTTGATCAGCATATCGTCCACATAGGCTTCCATGGATTTACCGAGGAGTGGCTTAAAAAGCCGGTTTACCATCCTTTGGTAAGTGGCGCCCAAATTCTTTAGTCCAAAGGCCATTTCCCGGTAGCAATAAGTGCCTTCTGGAGTCAAGAAGGAAGTCTTCTCCTCGTCCTCCTCAGCCATGAAAATTTGATGGTAGCCTTTGAAAGCGTCCATGAAGCTGAGCAATTCACACCCGGCCGTCTCATCGACCATCTGATCGGGACTGGGCAACGGGTATGAATCCATGGGACATGCTTTGTTTAGATCCGTGTAATCCACGCACATGCGCCAGGTGTCGCCTTTAGGAGCCAGGACGACGTTAGCCAACCAGGCCGGGTATTGTACTTCTCTTATGTGCCCGACCGCTAACAAATCTTTCACTTCTTTTTTTACAAAGTCCCTCGAGACGTTCGCCAAGTGCCTCTTCTTCTGTTTCACAGGCCGGCTCCCTTCCATCACAGCCAAACGATGGCATATGACAGAACGGCTAATGCCCGGCATGTCTGCCACACTCCACGCGAAACTATCTGCATATTCCCGAAGGACTGAGATGATTTCATCTCGAAGTCCACCGGGCAGATCTCTGCCAATCCGTACCATTCTTTCCGGGAAAGCTTCCCGGAGAACAATCTGCTCGGTTTCATCACCCGGCTCTAACTTTGACCGGTCTTCCTCCTGAGAGACCAAAGTGACTCTCTCAAAGGCCTTCGTCATTTTCTTTACAGCTTCCAAATAGCAATGCCGGGCCTTCTTTTGATCTCCTCTGACTTGTCCTATACCGCCCGGGGTATAGAACTTCATACAGAGATGGGCCATGGAGATGACTCCACGGACCTTGTTTATCCCAGGCCGGCCCAAAATGGCATTGTGAACACATTTGATGTTCACAACCACAAACCTCATTTGTTTTAGGATGACCTGCTCGCCTGTGCCCAGCTCACAGGTTAGAAGGATCGACCCTTCAGCTTCGATTGAGTCCCCGGTAAACCTAGACAGGGGAGTCTTTAAGGGCTCAAGCCGTGTTCGACACAACTTGAGCTTCTCAAATGCATCCAAGTACAATACGTTAACACTACTGCCCGTGTCAACGAGCACCCGGGAGACATCGACTCCACCCATATCCATAGTTATGACCAGGGGGTCATTGTGATCTTCTCCGGTGGCGGGGAGGTCCCGGTCAGTAAAGGTGATCGGCTCCCGTCTTGCCTGTTTTGACCGGGGATTTAGGGCCACCGTCCCGACGTAGAGCACTCGCCCCCATTTCTTTCTTTGGGAAGCAGAATCTCCCCCTTCCGGTCCGCCGTAGATGACCTGTAAATGCTCCTTGCCGGTTTTTCTTTTGTTTGGCTTGGGCCAAATATTCCGGATCAATCTCCCCGGCCTCAATCATCTGCTTAATTACTCCCTTCACACTGTTGCACTCCGCAGTGTTATGGGAATCAGTTTTGTGGAAGGAGCAATACTTCTCCGTCCATTGTTTTTCGCCGGTCGGTTTCTTCTCTGATTTGACCGGCTTTACCTCCATGACTTCAGCCTTTGCTCTACCGGGCAGTTCAATTTCTTTCTTCAAGGAAATCTTTCCTTTGGGATGGCCCTGCTCGGCCTCCCTTTTGAATGACACTTGTGCCTCAGCGTCAGCATAATCCCAAGCTGTGTTGTAGGCCTCCTGGTAGGACTGGGGAGGCCTCCTGCAGAATTCCTTATACAACTCTCCGGATCGGAGCCCGGACGCAAGGAGGGACATGGCTGTTTTGTCGTCCTTCTCCTCCACCTTGTCAATCTCATCCTTCCACCGGGTAAGGAATTTTGTCAGATCCTCGTGCTCTCGCTGCCCGGCTGTACTCAAGTAGGTAAATTTTTTCCTCTTGGTACAGTTTTCTTTGAACTTTTCTTGAAACACCTCAGCCAGTTCATCGAAGGAGTCGATTTCACCGGCCGGTAAGTTATGAAACCATTCAGCGGCGCGGCCGCGAAGGGTTTGAAAGAAAAGCAAACATTTCTAATCCCCGGAAAGACCCATCATCCGCCCGCTTTGATGGAGGGTTTTGACGTGAATTTCCGGGTCCTCCTTCCCGGTGAACTTTGGGACCTCAAGTTTTGCCTTCTTTGGAAATGGGGTTTCATGAACCCGATCTGTGAACGGGGATTCGTTCAACAGGATTTTCTTCTTTTCCTCGCGTTCTACCCGGCGCTGTAGTTTCTCTAGACGTGCCTCAACCCGGCCCACACGATCCCGTGGTTCAATAAGGGTACGAGTCGTGTGCCTGGGGTGGCTTTCTCCTTCCTCTTCTCCATGGGGCGCCCGGCTATGCTAGGGCTCTTCGTGATGGGGAGGTTCCGTGCGCCCGGTCCGACCGGGTCGCTCGGCCCCTTTACCCAGGCGATTAAAAGCACTCAACGGGGTTGTCTCCACTCCTAGTCGTTCTTTGGCAGGCCGGTTTTGATTTCTGCCTTCATGGCCAAGCCTTTGAAACGCCGACCTCCTGGACCCTTCAGGTTGAATAGCTTTTCCCTTCAGCTTCTTTTGTGCCTGGGGTAGATCCCAATCCTCATCCCTACTATGGACTGATCGCACATCGCCATCCAGCGTGATCTGCGTGCGCGACCTTCGGGACCGAATCCTTCTGGACCGGGACGGGCCAGTTTTGTCCATCTCTCTGATTAGATTCGTTGGAACGACTGGGCGGATGACACTGGTTTGGGGCAAGGATTTTGGGTATAACCCGGGAATGAAAGGTGAAAATCCTCCCGGCTGTTGAAACATGGACATGAACTGCCCAAAATTTTGGAATGCCTGTGAAAACAGCGGGTCCATGGGCCCGGGGAAATTTGGAGGAAAAATAGGGATAGAAGTGACGGGGGAAGTGAATGGAGTAGGTGTTGGAACAGAGAACATGGGGGTAGGAATCTGGTTTGAGGGTTGTGTACTCCCTCCCGGGAACGAGGCGACGTTCTCAACGGGAGTAGAGATTTGTGAGATGACGGTTTCCTGATTGCTTGTCATGGCTTTTTGTAATAGGTCCCACGGATGGCGCCAATTTGATGGTGTAAATTACCACGTAAATACTAAGTATGAGTAATCGGAAGGGTTGTAGGTGGAAACACCTGTAACCCGATTTGTTATTAATGATAATAGGAGTTATTACAAATACAAGCCGTGTAGGTTAATTAAAGCCCTCCTCTACAAATGAGGCTTTTAGGGGTATTTATAATAATCCTAAGCACGTCAAGCACGTCTCTAATTATCCAACCGGTCAGGCGGCTGACCGGCCCACCAGGTGCACTTTGAAAGTAGATCTTCGGGAATTGGTGTCTGGTCTCCCCATCCAACCGGTCAAATAACCCGGGCTGAGAAAGACGTGTGCTGTTCGGTGAACCAACCGGGTGGTATCCTTGGGTTATTACCCATCAATTATTATTCGCATATCTTTTTAATTACTTTTTTTATATTTTTCATTTCTTTGTACTAGAAAGTTAAATTTCTAGACCGATTTTCAGGGCGTTACATCACCTCATCGACCAATGAGTTCTGTGCTTTACCCCCTTCGGTTAACTCGGGCAACTCGGCACGAACACCATCTGGCCTTGCCTAGCAACTCCTCTTGGTCGCTTTTTTTATGAAATCGACAAGTTCTATAATTTGCCTTTATTGAATTCAAAGACAGAACATAGAAATGTTACAAGCCACTAATAAAATTTAACAAGGTTAGCACTATTCTACACCCGTGGGACATCTCCTCATGTTGGGGTTTGTAACTTCTAAGCTCCGTCAGCTAATACTTCTTTTATGATGTATGACCCTTCAAAATTTTTTGCGAACTTCCCCATATCGGTCGGTCTTATTAGACGCTTTTCACACCTCTAGAGAGGGGGGGGGGGTGAATAGAGGTGCTCTACAGTCGTGTAAAAATTTTTGCCTTATAAAAATGAAAAATCGCAGGAGTACCAAGCAAGGAAGATAATTCAACTGAAAATGAAGTGCGAGAAGACAACGATGTATCTTGGTTTGGCCTAAATGCCTACTTCCAGCCCACGGAGCAAACATGCCCGAGATTCCACTAACTTTGTTAAACTTTACGAAGTTTGACAATCTGATTACAACTCAAGAACTTGACTTCACAAGTCTCTTATCTTACCACCGAAGTATTGATTTCACAAGACTTTGGATTTCTTCCCAAACTTGTATTTTTTCAAATTCAAGTTTTTACAATCTCAAAGTAAAACTTACAAACGAAGTGCATAGTAATACTTTCTCTACAAATAAGAGTGGGTTGCTGTAGATTACTAGATCTTAGAGAGTATGACACACTCTAATCTTCTCCAAAACTCAAGTGAAAGAATTTTCTTGAAGTATCACTTGAAAATTAAAAAGGAGAATAATTGATTTGAGTTGAACTATTTGACTAATCAAAGGATGAGTATTTGAATGTTCTTGGGAGTGATTGATGTTGAGAAATCCAAAACAAGAGTGGTTATACATGATATGGATAAGATAAGTTCCAAAAAACTTAAAAAATGACTGTTGGACAGTTAAAACCATTGACTTATTCAAATAATTTCAGACTTATTCGAATAAGCTAAGTCACGACAAATTTGTTGCTTCAAGTCCAGGACTTATTCAAATAGTTGCAGAACTATTAGAATAGTTCAGGAGTGGATGCTAAGTGAAAATGTCAGACTTATTCGAATAATTATAGTTTCATTCAAATAGTTCGACACATAGTCCAAAATGAAAAACTCAGACTTATTCGAATAGTTATAGAACGTTATAGAACTATTCGAATAGTTTTATTAAAAATCAATTTTCTGAATAAAAAAATCAGGGATATTTTATAACGGACTAAAAAGCTTTGGAAAAATAATTTAGGACAAGGAGAATCAATAATGTGCTATACACTTTAACAAGATATGCTAAGACAACTAACAAGACTAAGAAAACATCTACATCTTGAAAGCTTGACTTGATATCCTAAGCCAACTTAAGAACTCCAAAGCATCAAAATATGTTTGTCATTATCAAAACACAAGATTCAACAACCATGTGAAGTTGCTTGGGCTTGAAAAAAGAATCTCATGCCTCAAAAACCACAACAAAGCAAAATAGAGCCAAAAAACCATTTACTAACACAAAGAGTTAAGAGCCAACTACTTCCCCTATTTGCAAGCACTTTTAAAAGGTTTCAAAAGCACAAACAAAGCAAATACTCTTCCCCCCTTTTGTCATAAGCAAAAAGGGAAGAACCAAACACATAAAATGTAAGTATAAAAAACAAAAGGGGTTAAGGCATGATAAAAGATATAAGTAGCTAATCGATCAAACACGCAGGCCAATCAAAAAAAGGTTAAAAGAAAAGTTTGTGAAAAGAATATCAATAAACAGCCAAGCCACCCATTCCTCATCCATGGCGGCATCTTCTTCAACATCAACATCCTCATCATCATCAACATCATCATTGGCATTGTTAGAGGTAGAGGGGTGATACATGTAAGGACCAAGAGCATCCGTCGAGGGAGTCTCCCGCTGCTCGCTAGCTTCGACAAGAAGCTTGTTGAGGCTCAAACCATACACAACTTGTTGAAGCTGAATATTGTCAAAGCACGTTTGAAGATTTTGCATAGTTTCAAAGAGCATGGGCATAGTGACTTTCCCACCATGGGAACCTCTACAATGTTGGGATGGACTAGCCTCAACATGATCTCCTCCTTCTTCATGTTCTTGCGCAACCCTCATCACGGTCTTTGGCTTGATCCTCCAAAAAGGAGTATCCAGTTCCATCTCAGTTGGAGCAAAATGAAATCATTGTTGTTTCAGCAAATATGTGATGAGCAAAGGATAAGGAAGGTCTCTTGACTTAGCACGAAAAAAATTCATATATGTCAAAATATACGATGGTTTGCATCACTCTAACTTACAGATTATGAACGATGATTTACATTCAAAATTCATACGCCTCGATTGGTACCGTTAGAGATTATCGTAAGTATTTTGGATAAAATTTCAACGATGTAGATTATTTTAAAAACATTCACACTAAACACTGTTCGTAAATAATTTTTTCAAGACATTAACCATTATCTCTAAATCTATTCCTAACACTTTGTTTGTTTGGAGGTATGGGGAGGTAGATTGTAATAAAAATTGAGATAGGTCAAAGAAGGTAGAGAGAGGTAGAGGGAGGTAGGGTTATCTCAAGGTAATATGTTCCGCTGCTACCCTTCACACTTCACCCGATCCCAAAACCCACATCGCCATCTTCTTCCGATTGCCATCTCCTTCCCATCGCCATCTCCAACAGGTATTTTGGGTACTTTTTTTCACTTCAATTTTTCTGTTTCGTTCAATTTTTTTCCAATTTTGTTCACTTTTTTTCAATTTATTCATGCACAATCAGTATATCTAATTCTCTGCTATGATTCCGGTATTTGGAGGGTTTCAATTAGGGATTTTTTGACACTGTTCCGCTTGGGTGTCGGGATAATTGAAGACAATTTTGCCATGTGCTCTTTAGTTGCTTCCATTAACAGTATAGTGAAATTGCAAGGATTTTCCATGTTTGTGCCTCTTGAATTTCTATAATTCTTTCCCGTTTGTTTGACATTGCTTACTTCAATTTTCAGTTTTCATTCTTTTTTCAGTTTCCAGTTTTCTTTTTTTTTCAGTTATCGTTTTTTTTCGTTTAATTTTCATTTTTCTGTTTTCGTTCCTCTGCTCTCCCCCGCTGCGATTCAATTTTCAGGTTTAATTTTTTTCAGTTTCCAATTTTGGTTCACTTTTTTTTTTCAGTTTTCATTTTTTTGAGATAAGAGAATGAGAAATTGTGGCAAAGTGATAAAATGAGACATCATACTTTCAATTTTCGTCTTTGAAAAGATAAACTTCTTCTTCCGAATCCAATTTAAGATAATTTTCATTTTTCCAAGCTTCATCCTAAACAAATAAAGAAAAACAACCACAAGGATATTTTAATAATTTTATTTTTTTCTTACCTCACGTTACCTAATAAACATCCAAACACCATTTTTTAATGCATTACCTTGCTTTACCTACCTTCAATTACCTACCATTACCTACCTAATAAAACTTTTACCTACCTCCAACCAAACATACCCAATATTCCCAAAATTAAAGTGCCCATCTTTTTCTCCCGGGCAGCTTTGAGAGTGCCCCTATTCGTCTTCGATCTTCTCCCTGTATCATCCGTCAGTCCGTCTCAAGCTGGAAATCCTGGCATCCGATCCTTTTCTCCAAATCTCTCCCTAAAATCACAGCTCGGTTGCCCCTGTCCGCACTCCTACGCCGTCAGGACTTCGTTCGCAGTTCGGAGTCCGACTTTGTCTTCCTCTTGTTACTGTGACGGACTGACGGGTGTCCTACAACTCGACTTGCGAGACACTGCAGAGATGGTTTCTTAATAATCTTCCATCTCTAGTTGCCACTTGCGACCTCTCTTTGGTGTTTGGGACCTGTGAATTTTCGCGATTCCCTACTGCAGCGTTCTTTCGAGGTAGTGAGGCTTAAAATTTCAATCAAATTTTTATGTTTTCGTATTCAATTCTTGAGGTTGATTCTCAATTTTGATATTACAAATTGGATTTTGTTTGTTCAATCTGAATTTTGAATTCAAAACTCCGATCTTATGTATCTACGTTTGTAATTTTAAATTTGAATAGCTCATGTAATTCGAAATTTGGAACTCGGATTTTTGGCTTATTAAACTCCGTACTCATTTGATCTCACCTTGATGTTTTAATTCTTTGGTTTGTTTTTCTTCATATCATGGTCATGAAATTAACTAGGAATTAATTAAACACAATGCTTACCAGTTTTGAAGCGATTTATGATTGATCATGTGTAGATTGTTTGTATATGAGTAGTTTAACATCTTTGTTCCTATGTTATTTTTTTGAGAACAATTCATTGTTTCTAGATGAGTAGTTTGCATTTTCTAAGTTTAAAAAATGTATTTCTCACTTACTTTAATTACACATGCATTTCACAATAATGGTTCGAACAAAAGATCCCCTTTGGAAATATTGGTGTATTTATTTTTTATTTGTGTTTAATGGCTATTGGACTCATACTACTTTTTAGTAAAAAGTTTAACTTTAAACTTTAATTTCTTGTTGCAAATATGTGCACACATTTTAAGTCATATTTTTGAAAAAGTAAACATATAAAACACAAACATATGTATTCCAAATGTATGAAACGAATAATTAGCCATATTTAAAATTTATCTCTGTTTTATACACAAGCATACAAATGAACATATTATACCTTTATGGGAATTAGCTAACATAGCTCCGTACTAACGGGTACTACAGTAGTTGAGCATTCTCTTGCTACAACATCTAGAATTTCTTCTTGGCGTTATCACTCTTCTCAATAATTTTATTTTCTCGACAGAAGCAAAATAAAAAAATCTGAACACCAGAGTAACAATGGTCGGGAGGGGAGAAAGATGGTGTGTGGTTACCGGTGGAAGAGGCTTTGTTGCTCGCCATTTGGTGGAAATGCTAATTTGTCATGAAATGTTCAGTGTCCGGGTTGCCGACTTAAGTCTTGAAATTAGGTTAGAGCCCCATGAGGAAAATGGCACCTTGGGCCAAGCTCTTCGGTCGGGCCGCGCCGTTTATGTGCCGATGGATCTCCGTGAAAAGTCACAAGTCTTAAAAGGTCAAATTCTCATTTTTCATATTTGCTCACAAAACTTGAGATTTTACATCGTATGAATGAGTAACTTTTTCTTGTTCGAAACTAATTTAATCAAAACTTTTACTGCTTGTGATTCTATTTTTGCAGCTTGTGAAGGAGCTGAAGTAGTTTTTCACATGGCTGCCCCAGATTCGTCAATCAACAACTACCAGCTCCATTACTCTGTCAATGTACAAGGTAAAAATCGCATTCGGGAAGTGGGGGATTGTTTATCTGTGCTTGTTCATTCTTGTATTTAGGTTTAATATTTGTTTTTCTAACTGTTTTTTTTTGAGCATTTTAAATAGGCACTAAGAATGTTATTGATGCTTGTATTGAGCTAAAAGTGAAAAGACTTATCTACACCAGCTCTCCCAGTGTAGTTTTTGATGGCATTCATGGACTTTTTAATGTGGATGAATCTGCACCATATCCCGTTAAGGTTTAGATTTTATTAATACTTCAAGTGCAATTTTGTTGAACACAATTTCTAATGAGAAAGTACTGATGTATTAGTGTATCCTCTTCCCCAGCACAATGATTCATATTCTGAGACTAAAGCTGAAGGTGAGACACTGGTCATAAAGTCAAATGACAGTAATGGTCTGCTGACATGTTGCATCAGACCTAGTGGCATTTTTGGACCTGGTGATAGGTTACTTGTTCCTTCCTTAGTCACTGCTGCAAGGGCAGGGAAATCCAAGGTTGTTAGAAATTTTCATCTCTTATTCCTTGTGTATACTTGTAATTATACTCCATCTTATTTATGGTTAGTCGTGTGTCTCTTCTCAAACCCCCAATTTTTTTTGGGGTGTTGGGTGCGTATAATATGCACCCAGGAGACATTTTTCATATTAATCTGTTTGTTCTTTTATTTATCTGTCGAGTTTTACTAACACCAGAGGAAAAACTTTTTGTAAGACACCAGTTAGTGGACAAAACAGTGTTGTTCTTTTGATTTGTGAAGAAAACAAATCTACATTCTTGCTCTTAAAATTAAACCGTTGGCATGCTTATATTTATTGAATGACTCAAAATTTTAAACCTGAACGATGCAGTTTATCATAGGTGATGGCAACAACATGTTTGATTTTACTTATGTTGAGAATGTGGCACACGCTCATATATGTGCTGAACAAGCTTTAGCATCAGAAGGAGCTGTTGCAGAGAATGCTGGTGGACAAGTAATTTGTCCTCTTATCTGTGAGATTATAACAGTGTGCTTGGTCATGACTATCAATTTCTTAAAGAAGATTGTATGATGTGTTGATTCATGATTGTTTGCTTGGATGACGTCTACTTAAATGTCTTGCAGGCATACTTTATTACTAATCTGGAGCCTATCAAGTTTTGGGAATTTATCTCCCTTATTCTTGAAGGTCTTGGCTACAAAAGGTGTTTTATTCATTCACTTGTCCATAAATTGCACATATTCACAATTGTTCGCCTAATCCTCTTGAGATTCATATTATTGTTAGATAACTTTCACAAATTTAATCATTCTTCCACCTACATTATAATTATGAGGAAATTGTTGAAGATTGAATTCATTGAAATAATCTGCATATTCACCAACTTTCAAGGCATTAACACTAATTTAAAGACCTTTGATCCTTCAGAAAAACAAAGTCCTAACCTTTTGAAATGCTAATTAACACCATCAGTTTATACCCTTCACTCAGTTCTACGTGGATGCCAGAAACATGATGACACATTAAACAACAACAAAAATGCAGACTGATTGAGATAATTACAAATCAGTTAGCATCTCTCTCACTTTCTTCTGTACAAAAAAAATTCAAGATACTCATTCTCTTCTTAATTCAACCTTGATTTTCTTACAAAAACTCCATTTCTATTCTATAAATGTTGGAGACGGATCTAATTCATTATATTGTGTGAGATGGGAATCTTCTCTGGAGATCGTAATCATCCGTCTAGTATTCGTCAAGGCAACAGGAAACCCGAACCTGATTCTGTACAATCATCTTGTGCAGTGTGATCTTTGACTGCCTTGTTCCACCATCTACACATGGTAAGTTTGCTGGAGAAAATATATGGATGACCTTTTAAACTTAGATTTTGAAACATCATGTACCTTTTTTAAAACAAAGGGTCAGAGGTTGTGACATTTTTTTAATAACCTTGAAAGTTGGCGTATTTATCAATTGTTTACGCTTAAAATTTTTGTATATGTGAGAGAAATGAAACCGTACAATTAAGAGAGAACACTGCTCTTATGTTTGAAAATTAAAGATTCACATTTCTTATATTTCAAGTGTTGAGTCCCTTGCCTTTGAATTGTGGTATGTGCAGGATTAAATCTGATAGTGAAATGTCCATTAATTTCATCCGTTGACTTCTAGGAACATCCATTATGATTTTGGAAAACTACAAGGATTGCAATGAACTAATAACTCATAGATTTCACTAGCTACCTAAAGTTGTCTCTTTGAACCATTCAAACTGTTGTTTGTAATGGTAAAATATTCAAGATAGATTATGCCTTATATGGTAAATTGTCTATTTTCTATTATTTTGGCCTGGTTTTAATTGCCCCGCCCTTGTTTGTTGGTTTTGATGGAAGGGTGCTTTTGATATTGCTCAGACTTTATAGCAACTCCAATGGGGAGTGTAAAAAAATTAAAAGCTAAATGTCATTTTAGCTCTCCAATAGTGTTTTAGCTTCTAAGTTTTTGATCACTACTCCAACCATCACAACTATTTTATACACTTTTATTATTTTTAATATTAATTACTTGTATTTAAATATTATAAATCAAATTTTAATCCTTCTATTGCAAATGAAAACAAAAAAATTCTTCGCTAAATACTTTTCCCACAAGTTCCACAAAAAATACAAAAATATCTTCATCAAAAAATAAAATCTTCCAAAAATCTTCATTGGTGCAGATACATAGTGCAGATCCCCTGCCTACCCAAAAAAACTCTAATCCAAAAAAATCTTCAAAAACAATTTCGAAATAATCTAAAAATGACAGAAATCTTCATAAAAAATTCCAACAAAAAGAGAATCTTATCCTTCGGGAAATTTTGGGGGCAATTCCAGAAATAAAATTCCATAGTGAAGATCCATACTTGCAATTCCAGCAAAAAAAGAAGCAGAGCCATACCTCCAGGAGAAGAACGAAGGAGAACAATATTAGGGTTGGCACAACACCGAGAAGATAGCAGCAAAGGAGAGCAATACTAGGGTTAGCGCCATTTCCACAACCTACAGTAGCATCTATACTTGGCTTACGAGAAACTACAAATAGACTACCTTTTATATTTAACACTGCGCGTTGGAGGTGCAGATTTTGTACAGTAAAAGCTAAAACTTTTATATTTTAGACTTTATTTAGTTCAAACGTTAGACTAATTGTCTGCAGTATTTGTGTAGGGCAGTATATGAGTATAGTGCTGTATGGATCTAGTCTAGTACATATAAGGGTGGATGTATCACTTGTATGTCACTATGTCACAATATTGCATCTCCTTTAATGAGTAGCTTTAATGGGCATTTGATTCACTTACCGTTCACATTTAAGATGTATACTATCTTTATTTCTGATTTTATGTAGTATGCAGGCCAAGTATTAAGATTCCTGCCTATGTTATGATGCCAATTGCTCATGTGGTTGAGTGGACATATAAGCTATTTGGCCCATATGGAATGAAGGTCCCACAATTGACACCTTCACGAATACGACTTTTATCTTGCAGCAGGACATTTAGTTGTTCAAAAGCAAATGATCTACTGGGCTATACACCGATTGTCACTCTTCAGGTTTTTTCTTATCTGTTGAAATGACTCAATTTCATTTTATTTCCCACTATCTGCATCCACATATGTTTACAAGGCATTTTATCTGTATCCATTTGAAGCGGATATTGTCCTATTGATGTCCAATTATAAATGGATAGGTATGTGGCAATTAGATATCTACTCCATTCAATATTCCCTCCAAATACGTATATGTATGTAATTATGTATATTTTATTTTTTATTTATAATTTAGTTTTGGCCCTCGAAAATAGTTTTTACTCTAAGGTTTTTAATTAAGTCATCCATGTAAAATTTATTTTTTTCACAAATGGTCCTCCCACCAATTTTGAGTTAATGTTTCGGTGTTTAAAGTGACCAAAAACAAAATCGCTTTGGACTTAAAAATTTTCAGACAGACCAAAAACCAATCATGAATTATGGGGACCAAAAACATATTCTACATTAACTCCAAATTTTAAAAATTTAGTGGGAAGCCTATTTGCAAAAAATACATTTTACAGAGATGACTTAATTGAAATATGCAATAGATGGACCAAAAGCAAAAGTTGCTCATTTTATAGGGACCAAATACATATTTAACCCTAAAATGACACCAGTGCTATTGGTGTCTTACACCAGTTCGTTTAGGTTACCAACGGTGTATTGCCTGGGTAGGGAGGGGGGCAGGGAGGGGGTATTTAGGGGGAGGGTTAGGGGGGTAGGAACCATCATTTTTACGAAAAGGGCACCGTAGCCTGTAGGTGCACCAAACGAATTGTTGTAAGCAAATGACACCAGTAGCACTGGTGTCATTTTAGACTTATATATATACGGTGAGATCAAGCAAAGCTCACCTCTTTGAACACCAAAATTCACCATTTTTTAAAATTTTTAAAATTAAAAAAATAATTAAAAATAAAATAGCAATACTGGTCAACCACCGGTTAGCAGCGGCGTCCGACGACCGGCGACCGGCAACCGGCAACTATACACACACACACAGTTTATGCGGGTCTGTGCGTGTGTTTATAATACTTTGTAGATAAATACATAAACAAAATATGACCAATTTATATATTCAATATTAAACTATTCAAATTGATAATCGGATGTAAATATATCGATACGTGGTCATTATGTGACTAGATGCAGATATTGGTTTTGATTTTTGAACATCTGCCCACCGTATCTGATCTTATATTTGATAAAATTAAATAAAAAAAGATATGGTAGTGTCACATCCCCGTTCATTTAGTATCTTACACCTTGAGATGAATATTACTTTAGATCCATAATAAAAATGGTTAATTATGTATTTAGTCCCTGTAAAATAGGTGAGTTTTGTTTTTAGTCCTTGTAAAACATTTTTTGTTAAGTCATCGTTTTTTATTTTGAAAATGGTCCCTTACAAGTAAGTAACTGAGACTTAATTTGTTGACAATTTGACATAACACATTTATTTCGTACTCAACATCTTTTACTTTTGCATTTCTATTTACTTTAGACACAATTTCATGTTCTAAATTATGTTCATTATCAAATTACATCTTCAATTCTCAAATTTGTATTATATTATTTTCCTAAGAAATTTGAGAGTTGGAGATGTAATATGAATAAGAACACAATTTAGGCTTGGAAATTGTGTCAGACGTAATTAGAAATGCTAGATTAAGATGTTGAGTATGAAATAAATGTGCTATCTCATCTAATTAGAAGTGTTAATTACATTTAAGGACTATTTTCAATATAAATTTTTTGTAAGGATGACTTCAACAAAAAAATATTTTAACAAAAATATTAAATGAACACGGATATGGTAATGCCACATCCGATTCATTTACTATCCTACCCTTAGGGATGAATATCACTTTATATCCTTAACATGGTTTTAAAAGGCGGCCGAGGTGGTCCTCCTCCAGGCGGAGGCAGTTGCATTTTGCGTATGAGGTTTAAGCCTCACGATGTTGAGGCGGTCTTACGCGGTAAGGCGTAATCGAGGCGTAAGCCTCAATATTTATAAGAATTTCAACAGTTATAAGGGTTATTGATAAAAAGCTATTGGGCCTCTTTTACAAAATCTCTTTTGGGCCCGTGCACTATTTAGTTTCTTAAAATAAACCTAGTAGATAATAAACACTTCTTTCCCAGACTTTAGCCTCAACTTTTGTCCCTTCATCTTCTATCGTACTTCTTTTCATCTTCAGTAGCACAGCTTCTCTCTTGCAGTAACAGCTATGTCAATTGCTTCATATTTTAATAGCTTATCTTCTATTTCTTTAATCTTTTTTCTTTCAACTTTTAATTTTTTCAATTCCTTCTTTTCTTGCATCCCTCTCCCTCTTTTAAATTCAATTCAAACTTCAAAGAATGATGTAACTTTTTTTTGCTTGAACTTTTGTCCATATTTAGGCCCTGTTTTTTGGGTTGTAAAAATTAACTTCTAACTCCTTCCAACTCCTTTCGGTTCTTTCCAACTCTTCCAGTTTCTTCCAACAATGACTTAAAAGAGGTATAAATATATGATGAATATACAATAAGTTTATATATCCAAATTTATAGCATACCACCTCAAATACGGACTAGGATGAATTCTTTTTTTATCCAAAATTAGAGTTCTCTTACATATTTATTTGGGTTTATCTTTTTTATCCACTATTATTTTATTATTATTTTTGCATCTCAAAATGTGATTTGTCTTCATGTAGGAGGGTCTTAGGAAGACCATCGACTCATACCCACATTTGAGAGCTGAAATGAAAAGTAGGAGGGGTGGGCCTTCTAAAGCTTCCATGCTTCTTGGAAACGGAAGGGGTATGCATGCGTTGTTCTCTCTATATTCTACTAACCTAATTATTTCTCATGCAACAGTGTGTCCAAATCCAATTTGCATGGTTTGAAATTTATTATTGTGTGATAGTTAAGTTTTATGTTTTAAATTGAAGTGTAGTTTTCAAGCCATTGCTAACCTTCTGGCAGAACACATCACTTAATGATTCTATACATATTGCTATTACGTTACCTGATACTAAATGATTGTCCACCTATTCATATGTTGGTTATAGACTTATAGTGCTGGTGCACTTGCCCCTCTACCCTTTATAGATAGGGGTAAGGTTTGTCAGTTTGTGGACACCCACCTCGGAACACCATTGTGGGATGTCAATGGGTTGTTGTTGTACTGCCAGTGCACTTTTACGATGATCTCTTTGTGAACCACAACTTTTAAAATTGTTTTACTCACCTGAAATTGTTGATTGAAGTCCAGAACGGCATCTTAATAGGGTACGTCTTCAAGTACTTTTCCAAAACATGTACAAGCTGTCCAAGTTTTGGCTCTCTTGCACTAGGAATTATTATTCTTTTTTGACGTGGTTTGATTGCATGCATCACATGTTTTTCCAGAAGTCATACGAGCTGCACAATATTTCCTTTTTTAGGGTTATACAAATGTAACAAAAATTATATTCAATTTTTAATACTATCATTATTCTGAACTATTTTTTTTTGTTTTGCATAACACTTCTGCAAATTGAACATACTGTTTTTAGTCTTCATGAAATTTATCGCAGTATATTGCATGATAATCAAAGCTAACAAAAGTTGAGGGGATGGATGAATCAGTGTGTAATAAGACTTGTTATATATGGCTGACCATGACCAGACATGTCTTTTGATGTCATTATTTACTGTTCGATTTTAAACTCAAGTTAGGAATATCATTCTAAAAAATAGTTATTGCACTACATGTTTCAGTTGCTGACACACTTCTCTGGAGGGATAAAAAGCAAACAATCACTGCAGCAGTAGTTCTTGCCGCAATTTACTTCAATTTCATAGCAGTGGGATATACCATGATAACAGCAGTTTCCAAGCTACTCTTAGTGGCATCTATTTTCCTGTTCATCCATGGAAAGTTGCCACTGAAAATGTAAGTCTTTCTCACTTTTTCTCACAGAGCACACATATGCACATAAACATAATGGAAGATTGTAAAAAAACATTTAAGTTAATAACATACTGTACAACACAACTGCCTACTCCTCTATAAATACTTCCAGTGTGGAATGCTGGAAGCATAGGTGCAAATATTGATTTCAACAGTCTGCTCGTTTTGGTATTGAAGACCTCACATTTTTCATGATTAATTTTTTTTTAAAAGTTATTAAAGTTTACACTCTTTACTTAGCTTCTCCATAAAGATAAATCAAGTCATTCTTTAAGAAACCTCTTAAGAAGGCTGTAGTTTCTCCAAAAATTATATATTTTACTCTCTTCATCCCAAAATAAACTTCACACTTTCTTTATACTTCCGTGTGAACTGTGAAAATTAGCTCCACACTTTCCCTATTGTTCTTTGAAGGAAAGGAATGTGTGACTCACAACATATCTCTTTCTTCTAAACAAATCCTAACCATACATTTCACTTTTAAACTCTTTTCTAGAACTCTTTGAATTCATACCATGAAGTTTATTTTCAAATAGAGGGAGTAAATAATAGAATAAAAAACATTTTCATCTCTTAATTTTTGGCTGTTCATTCTTTCCATATTCTTTAAAGCAGCAAATAAGAAGTTATTGATTAAAAATTTGTTGTTTATTTGTGACATTGTATTTGACATTACCATGGTATCATTCGATTCCCTCATCCTTGTACAAATGCGAAACATAGACTTTTTGTGGGCATGCTTTAGTATTTTACCAAGCTTTCTATGCATCGTATTGGATCTCATGTTGAAAGTGAACTTCATGTCACATCAATCATGAACAAGCAACTGCCGTTGGGTTATTCCAAGTTTTGTTTTCTTCTCTAGCATTGTTAGAGATACACCCTTTGAGACGTAAACATTGAGCATCGAGTGTGGCTGACATGGAATAACTATACAACATTGATGTGATCATTGATCTACACTTTTGCCTTTTTCTCTACTCTTATGTATTGGGATTAACACTTTGTTGTTTTTGTTTTGATAAATATAATTAAGAAAAGGTAGAAGATTTCAAGAGGGTATTCCATTAGTAGAAACAACAACAAAGCCTTATCCCACTAGGTGGGGTTGGTTACATGGATCAAACAACGCCATTGTACCCTATTTCCCTATCATGTATCATATGTGTTGTGAGATCATTCACATATCACACGAAGGCCCTGACCACTTCTTGCCAAGTCTTCTTAGGTCGACTTCTTCCTCTAACCATATGTCTATTCACCATTTGATCAACCCTTCTCACTGAATCCTCTATTGGTCCTTCACATGTCCAAACCGCCTAAGACGAGTTTCCACCATCTTCTCTACAATAGGTGCCACTCCACCTTTAACTTTCATATCTTCATTCCTTATTCTATCCATACATGTCTACTTCTCCCTCTAACCACATGTCTATTCACCATTTGATTAACCCTTCTCACCAGATCTTTTATTGGTCTTCTCTCCACATGTCCAAATCGCCTAAGACGTGTTTCCACCATCTTCTCTACAATAGGTGCCACTCCAACTTTAGCTCTCATATCTTCATTCCTTATTCTATCCATACACGTATGTCTGCTCATTTATCAAAGCATCTTCATTTCCGCCAAACTAACCTTGTGTTCATGTTCACCCTTTGTTGCCCAAATCTCTGTTCCTTACAATATAGCACAATATAGCTTGTCTAATCGGCAATCGCAGCACGGTAAATTTTCCCTTTACTTTCAAAGGTACTTTTTTTGTCACATATAAAGCTGACGCACTCCGCCATTTTGACCAACCGGCTTGGATCCTGTGGTTAATATCATCTTGTAATGGATTAAAACCATTAAAATTACCAAATATTTTGTGTCTTGTTCTTTAGTAGATGTATAGTGAGATTTCCCTAGTGTGCCTGTACCTCGTACATTTCTACTTAGCATCATGGTGAGATTCAACGTTTCTTTTAGTTCAAAATATATTCTATAAAACATGCACCTGCAAAGTGGAAAACTTTATGAAACAAGCTGGAAGAGAGTATTTCAGGAGTTCTGATGGATGGACGGGTTGTGCAGATTTGGATATAGTATTGAGAAAATTCACAAGTCAAAATTCACTGTCTCGGAGGAGACATCTTTTGAAGTTGCAGGATCAGTAGCTTCTTTTTGGAACTCAGCAGTAAATAGCTTAAAATTGCTTTGCAGGGGAAAAGATTGGACGCTATTCCTCAAGGTAATCGTTATGCCATTCAATTTGTACCATGTTAAATGCTTTTCGTCCAGTAGTCGTTTTCTTCGACGGGGTCTGGGGGTCTAGTCTTTAATATATACTTGACATGTATATGTATGTATGTCTGTATGAAGGGCTAAAGAGAGAGAAAAGTATGCTAGTAGCAAGCTGGGCGAAAAATTAAATGATTCAAAAATATTTTTGAAGGCTACTTAAGCAGCAAAAAGCTCTTTTACAAGAATTTCTGTATTAGAGGTCTTTTAGAAAGCTTAGGTTGGGTAAACAACATCCAGGGGAACAGAATTTTGTTATCCTCCAATGATTTATCAAGTAGTCTGTGTACTTTGATACAGGTGGTGTTCTCTTTAATGATCCTGAGCATCTTGGGGACCTTTTCACTACATAGTCTGTTTGTCATAGGTTCGTCTCTTTCTCATTATCTAACACCTCTGTCTTCACATATAATAGTTTTGAAATGTATTCATCTACAGCATGTTTGGAAACTGGAATTTGGATTTCAAATCCGGATTTGGCTCAAATTCTATGTTTGGGGAATCTAAAAAATTTGGATTTGGATTTGAGGCAAATTCCTCTAATTCATTACAAAGCTCAATTGCAAATCCATAGGTCTCCCGTTGTCATTTGAAATTCAAGAATTGAAATGCATGTTGTAATGAAATGCTAGTTTCCAAACACTACCTAAATGAAATTTAATACAAAATGATTGCTAGTGTATTCTGTGCTTGTGAATCACACTTAAAAATTAAAATAGATACGTGCAATTTGAAGGTCATAGTTTCTAGCAAGGGGCTCTAACAATCAATTCCTTTGTCATTACTATAGTGTTCCCAATTGCGTTTGTTGCTTTCTTGGTATATGAGAAAAAGGAGGAACAAATTGATCACCTGGTTCTTGAAGTTACCTCTTCTGCATGCAAACTCAAGTCTGGAATGGTTGGGAAAGTTTTCAGCTCCAAGAAAAAGCAATAGTCGGTTATCGGATGGAGCAGAATCTGCACCTTTTTATTCATTGAGGTTTTTTCTTAGTTTTCAGAAGATTTGTGCTATTGCTGGCTCTCTCAAAGCTCCAAGTCCTGATTCCATCTTGCCTGCATCGAAACATCTTTTTGGGATCCAGTCTTTTTATGGGTTCTCCCAATTCTATGCTCTTTTGCCTTCATCGTTCTTGTTGTCGAACAAACTGTGTTATTTCATTCATTCAGTTTTGACCTATTTATCCACATTACAAAAAACTTGTCTGGTGCGATGTGTTGCTGATGCAACACCAATTTCTGTAAACTTGGGACCTATGGTTGTAATGCAAAGTATGTGCCTTGGGGCCTGTTTGGTTAACCCCTGTATTGAAATTAGACTATGATTAATGTCAGTATTTCAACTACTACGTATATTCTTGGTGTTTAGCTATTCTTAGTTGAATGCATGGTTTTAAAAGGTGACCGAGGCAGTCCGCCTCGAGGCAGTGAGGCGATAAGGCGGTTGCATTTCGCCTCAGTAGGGAAACCTAAGGCGTACGCCTCACAATGTTGAGGCGCTCCGAGGCGGTTTGAGGCGGTAAGGCATAACCAAGGCGTAAGCCTCACTTTTAATAAGAATTTCAACAATTATAAGGGTTATTTTTTAAAAGCTATTGAGCCTCTGTTACAAAAACTCTTTTGGGCCAATGCACTATAAAGTTTCTTAAGAAAAACTTAATAAACCTAGTAGATAATTATAACTTCTTTTCAAGACTTTTAGCATCAACTTTCGTCTCTCCATCTTCAACCGTACTTCTCTCCATCTTCAGACTTCAGTGACACAACTTCACACTTGTGGTAACCGCTAAGGAAATTACTTCATATTTAATAGCTTATCTTCTATTTCATTCATCTGCTTCTTTTAACTTTTAATTTTTTTCGGTTCCTTCTTTTCTAACATCCCTCTCCCTCTTTTAAATTTGGTTCAAACTTCAAAGAATGATGTAATTTTTTTTGCGTGAACTTTTGTCCATATTTAATATGTATAAGGTTTGAAGATGGGTTTGAGACATTTGTGTTTATGTTACTGTGTTTAATCTTTATAATTCTATTTTTTTTATGTTTTAAAAATTAAGATAGGGTATCATGTTTTGTAAAATTCAAGAATTATGATTTTGTCATTTATTTAACATGAAAATGGATTATGCATTTCGTTTTACCTCGGTGTACATATTTTAGTATTATTTTTTTCACATTGAACTGAGGCTTACGCTTCGTTCCGCCTCGAGGCTTACGCCTCAAGGCATTTTGCTCCACCGCCTCGAGGCTAGTTTTCGCCTTTCAAAACCTTGGTTGAATGTCGAGGGAATGCTTTAAAAATATATATTGAATTTTGAGCTAATGTTTGAAATATAGTTCCTCATTCCAATTTGAGTTGCATATTCTCTATTTACAGAACAACCCAATGGGTTCAAAGCTTCATGGGAATATAGAAAACCCTGTTAAACCCAATAAGCCATTGTATGGTCTCAAACAAGCGTCGAAACAGTTATATGAGAAGTTTGACCAAACAATGATTAACCTTTGTTTCAAAATTAATGAAGCGGATATGTGTCTATTTGAAAGATACAACTATGTGTTATGTCATTATGTGTTTGAAGTTTACATACTCGTACTGGGTGTTAATGACAAGATGGTCAAATCTACCAAGAACATGTTAAACTCAAAGTTTAACATGAAGGATATGGGCCTGACTGAAATAATTCTTAAATTTATTATGTGAAAAGATCAAATGGTCTTGCTTTCCCCTAATCTCAGTATATTGATGATATCCTGAATAGATTTAACAAGGACGATGACAGAGTGACGAAGAGGTCATTGG